GCTGAGCATCTGTTATTTTTACTTGAGCTCACTTCAACACTTTGCAGATCTTCCTCATATAATCATCTGTAAACTCAATGAGATTATATAATATTTTAACAGAAGATGTATTAGCTATATCAATGAAGAAGATATGAAAAAGATGTGTTAAAAAGAATGAGCTTATGTCTGTTGAGACAGTATCTCTATTATTGATGATCAGCTCTGCTAGAGAGAGTCATTTACATCAGTCATTCTGTTGAAAGCTAATGTACTTTCATAGATACATTTTCAGAGTCTGATTCATTCACTCTGTAGCTCTGTCAGTCTCTGAGTGATAGACTGTGAAGAGTCATCTTTTAATGTCTAATTTTTCACACACTTGAGTTTAAAACATGCTTGTGAAAGCTGATCCTTGATCTGACACTACTGCTTTAGAGATGCCATGTCAAGAAATGATATTGTGAAGGAACACTCTAGTCACTGTCTTCACATCAATTTTCTTAACTGCTTTTAATATAACTCTCTTGATCAGTTTGTCTGTTATAGTCATGATGTTTGTATATTCTTTAAAGCTTGATAAGTTCACAATAAAGTCTATAGAAAGCTTCTGTCACATGTGTTTAGAAATGAAGAGAGGCTTAAGCAGTTTCTGATGTCAATCTCTTCATGTAATATTTGATCTGCAAAGATGACAGTTTCTGATCATTCTTCTCAAATCAGTGGCATAGTCTAACCAGTAGAACTCATGTCTTAGAACTTCTGCCATTTGCTCTCACCTGGGATGACCAGTAAGAGATGAGTCATTAGTCTTGTACATTAATCTGATTTAAAGAGATTTAAAGTCTGACACTCACTTATAATCTCAAAAGAGAAGTTTCTCATTCTCATTTAAAGAGCACTCAGAGATGAAGGTCTTAATGTCAAGTTCAGAAGAATATCTGAATCTTTTCTTACAAAGAGTCTGCTTCAGATACTGCAGAATCTTGTCATTTTTGTGAGCCTCATTTCACTGAGCTTGAAGAGACATCTCAGGTTTCATACTGGCAGTGACCACTCTTGGTTCCATTTCAGGTGTCAGTACATTAAACTTAAGTAGTTAAGCTTGCCTCTGCTTGATTCTCTCATCATCAGCACTCTGTGACATGTTCTGCTTTCTTTATGATAGAGTGTCTGGTCCAGCATTCAACTTCTCTGACTGGTAATCAATTCTGAAGTTGAATTGATAGAGAATATTCATTCAATGTAGCTGTCTTTCATTTAGTCTGTGTGTAGTCATGAAGTATTCTAGATTCTTATGATCTATAAAAATCTTGAATTTCTTTACACTTCATAGCTCAGCATCTTACTTCTTTAAATACTTAATTATTGCTAATAACTTCTTATCATGAATCTCATAGTTGCATTTTGCAGGTGAATGCTTGTGAGAGAAGAAAACACATGAGTGTAGAATGCTCTGCTCATCATATTGTAGTAGCACTTCTTCTGAGATGTAATCTGAGAAGTTTATTTTCAATATAGTCTCACAGTCAGAGTCAAATTGAAACAAGATTGGAGCAGAGATAAACATTGATTTTAGATACTTAAAAGCTTTCTCAGCCTTGCTCATCCACAAAAAGAGAATATTCTTGTGTATAAGAATTGTCAGTGAGGTCATGATCTTTGAGAAATCCCTGATGAATTGTCTATAGAAATTGACAAAGTCTAAAAATCCTCATATATTCTTAATAGTAGTAGGTGTCACTCATTATAAAACAAATTTAACCTTCTCTGAATTCATTCATATACCCTTGCTTGCTTTAATAATGAATTCAAGATATTTTGTACTATTCATCTTAAACTCACTCTTTCTGATGTCTGCCTGCAGGCCTGCTTCTCATAGATACATAAGCATCTTTTGTACATGCTTGCAATACTCTTGTAAGCTTCTTGAGAAAAATATCAAAATGTCATCTAAATAGACTGAGCAGAAGTTGTCCAGATATCCACATAATGCTCAGTTGATATATTTTTGAAACATGCTCAGAGCATTGGTCAAACCAAAGGGTGTAATCAGCCACTCAAATAGCTCATATCTAGTTCTAAAGACTGTCATCCACTCATCACCTTTCATGATTCAAATCTTGTAAAAAACTACAATAATGTTCAGCTTAGTGAATCATTTAGCTCATTCAATTTACTGTAGAGTCTCACTGATTAATGATAGAGAATATCAATTCTTTCAGATGATTTTATTAAGAGCTTGATAGTTCACACAGAATCTTAGTTCACCTTTAGACTTCTTTGCAAATAGTATGAGAGTGACTATAAGAGAGTTGACCACTCTAATAAAACTCTTATCTAGATAATCTGTAAGAGTTTTTCACAAAGCCAGTAGTTTCTCTTGAGATATATTATATAGTGAGCTTCAAGAGGGTTGTTCTGTGCTATCATCAGTCTTTTTAATCAGTTCAATCTCATGATCTCTATCTGAGTCATGAAGTGAGGGTAGAGTATTAGCAGCTTCCTTATCAAATATATTCAAAAACTTATGATAATATTCATGTAGCTTTTCTTTAGAGTCAATCTTTGATTTCACTTCTAGAGTCTTTTGAATGTCAGTCAAACTGATAGTGAAGATCTCAATATTTTACTTTTCTTGAGTGCTCACAAGCCTAGAGAAGCTTATGACAGAGATGGAAATCACATCAGCTTTTGCATTTGAACTAGACTCTATCTCTATGCCACTCTCTTCAAATTTCACAATTCTTTGATGAGGGATCATAGTTGCCTTTTGCTGGGCCAGCCAGAGGTCACCTAGATATATATCATGACCATGTAACTCATTCACCACATAGAGAAAGGCTCATTCAGTTATGTGACTGCCTATATCAATTTGAATGTCAGTTATCATGCTCATAGAGAGTCTTATGAAGTCTTCAAAGCCAGTCATTTTAGCAGAGAGAATTTCAATACACAGAAGCTTATGCTTATTAATGTAGAATTGAGAAATAAGATTATAGACATTACATTCACTGTCTATCATTGCTCTAATTGAAAAGGCATTATCTACTAGAGCATCAACAATGAAGAATTTGAATATCATTTTAGATTTAAATCTTCTTCATTACTTCTTCATAAGCTTCTTATTTCACTTCTTTCAGTGTCTTTGAGTTGAAGCTACTCTTTTTTTGAATTCTCACTCATATTCACATTGTTGTCATTCAGTATTAGCTTGAGAATCATCTTAGCTATTGTGTGAGTGACAGAGCATCTGAGAGATTTGAACAAAAAGCTCTTAATCATATGACCTTCAGCTCTGCATCTCAGGCACAGGTCTTGCTCTCTTTGTTGATTAATCTCTGTCTAATTTATCAATTTGATGTAATCAGTGCTTGAGATTCTAGCACTAGAAGAGAGATTCATCAGATCATCAGTGAAAGCTTAAAACTGATTTCATTGATCAAGAACAGCATGATGAAGTAAAGAGTGTGAATTAGATATTGTATGATCTGAAGAAGATCTGCTTTTATGACATTTAAATCACTATCTTAAAGTCTTAAGCTCAGAGAGTTAATGATCAACTAATATAAGCTTCTTGCAGTAATTCTTATAAAGAGATGATTTTCTTACATTCATCATGCCTTCCCTCAGCTTTATGCTTAGAATGAATTTCAAATATTTCTTTTAACATGATTATCTCATCTGTGATTATCAGCTTCCAGCAGTAGCTGATTAAATTCAGATAGAAAGTCAAAAAGAGCTCTTCTACTCTATTGTAGATTGTTGAGCTTTTGCATAGTCTTTTTCTGTCATGCAGAATCACTAAAGAGCATGCATGTCTGCTTCAGTAAGCTCTATACTGTGAAGTTGATCTTGTTCTTATTATTCTCAACTCAGAGGTAAACTTGAGCTGCTGTCATTTTTTTTAGTCTTGAGTACACATATCAAGCACATTTCTCATTATTATCTAAAGCTTTTCCATTGATCTTAAGTTTTGATTGAAGCTTTAGCTCTCACTGAGAGTAGTGCTTCAGATTAGAATCATCATACTTCTTGCAGTTCAGTAGCTTGATCTTTGATCTTCTGACTGCAATGAGTGATTGTGAGTTTGATTGAGAGAGAGTTGATGTTGAGATGTTCAAAGCTTATTGTAGATTAGCTATTTCAGCTTGCTGAGCTGCTATTAAATTTCTGTTCTCATGCTGAATCTGTTCCTGCTGTTGAAGAAAGATCATTCATTGTTGTTCAAAGCTGCTGAGAGTATCTCTGCTCATTACTTCATATTGATTCATTTGTGTATTCATTGTACAAGTCTGTCACTTTATTTTGTTCAGCTAGACATTTTCAATGTTGCTCATTCATTTGTTAGCACAATTGCTAACTCAGTCTATTCATATATTAGTGCTATCACTGAACTTTGTGATGCAGGATTTAAGGCTTCCAATAGCCTGTTGTATGTCAGCATGTTTGCTGAGCTTCATGATACAGGATTAAGGCTCCCAGTGACCTATCAATGAAAGGAGTGAAGCAATTCGTAATGTAGAGGGTTAAGCTCTAAGAACTAGAGGCTAGTCCTCCTATATAACAAGGATGAATTGCTTGGGAAAGGGAAGAAAAGAATGAGATGAGAACACGGGCTTAAGCAAGCTCGCGTAGCATGATCACGTGCGCACGTGCAAACGATGGCTAGGCTGAGTCAGCCAGCCAGAGCGAATCTAGGGGTTCAGCCCCTTATAGAAACTCTTCTGAAGCATATTAATCTTGATTTTATCATTTTAAAACTACTCTTCAGCTTTCAAAATCTTTTAACTGAAGGTTGAATGAAAGGCTGCAAGAGAAAGACTGTATTGATGAGTACTTTGAAGCCAGTTAAGAGCTTTCACAGCAAGAGCAGAGTCAGAGATGAGAATATTTAGCTGAGTGAAGACAATCTCTGGATTGAGGGTAGTGATTTTGCTCATGTTCATTCATAAATGGAACTTAGTCACTGCAGTTCCACAAAGGTGGTCAAATATGTACCAGGCCAATAGCTCCATCGTCTACACGGAGTGTGGCCCTGGCGTTGAGTCGCCAGGCGGAGTATCAGACCAGGTCAGTCCGGTCAAAGGTTTCAAGCGGAGTGAGCTTCTCCTTCGGACGTTTCTGCTCCAGGTGGAGGGTGCTAGGTGGTTGAGTGGTGTCTGTGACAGGTGTGTTGATAGCAGCAGTCAGTTGAACTCTTAGGTCTCAGAGCTCAGTTTGAAAGGCTTCCTCGCGTGAAACCTGTCGCTGGAGGAGTTCTTGAAGCCACGCAGGTGCGCCTGCTGAGGTGTCTTTATGTCTCATACTGAGGTCCATGATTAAGTCATAGAATTCTTCATCACTAGTGGTGGAGACATCAGCAGTAAATCACATAAACTAGTCAGGTCACCAGGGGGTCTTCAGACCTTTCACCGGCTCAGCACCTCCTGTGACTTGTTCATAGAGATGCATTGAATCTCTTCGTCCATGGGCAGCTCTATACTGTGTGTAGAGCTTCGGTGGAGCTAGCTCCCTGGGTCTCCAATCACTGTTGTTTTTCTTCTCCTATGACAGGAGGAATGAATTGGAATGATTCCTAATGTTATGGGCTAGCCGCTGAGAACAGCTAATAACTAACGCGTGTAAAAAGACAGAAAGGAATCGTTAAGGGAGGAAAGAGAAAGACAAATCATGTAGGGGATTGGGCTTCCTTTTAATAGGGAGCGGAGCTTCGGTAAGAAGATGATTGGAGGTAATAGGGGCTGTAGTGTGAGTGATTTGAGATGGGAAGCAATCCGCTCAGTGTCCTTATCCGCTCGGTGACCGATTATGTTGACTATTAATATTTTCAATTTTGAACTAACTAGTTATGGAGTGGTCCATATAAAACGTACGCTCAAAATCGGGTTTCAATTATATTTAGACAGTGATATTGAAAGAGAAGAGATTTGGTTATTATTTTCCAAAGTAAGCTTACAGCATTAGGAGATGAAAATATGAATCCCAACCAAATCCCTCTTGTCCAGGCTCTTCCCGCCGCTGCCCAACAGCACATCCTTGATCCGCCGAAGAACGCATATGACGCTCTCGATGTGCGAGCAAGCTTCACTAACCTCCCAACCTGATCTCCAACAAAAGAAATCAGGATTGAAATAGAAGAATCTCAAAGCACCTTTAAAAAGAGAACAAATCCAATCATAGAAGTCAAATTCCCCTGAGCGTTCTTCCAGTTGACTCTCTAAAGCCCACTGAAACTAAACAATTGATATACTTTCAACGGCTGCAATTGACTTTCTAGCTACCACCGAAGCTTATAAAGGAACTTTACGTCAACATCATCTCCTCTGAGGGGGGTCAGTCCAATAACATAACATAACCATCCAACCATCCAACCAACCAACGAACCAAACATTTATAGAGCCCCTCCCAATCCCCCGCAATGGCACCTCCAAACGTGCCACCATTCGACGATACCATTGCCGAAGTCGTGGCCAGCGAGACATCCCCAGATGGCACTGGTCAGTCTCTCCATCCATGCATCCGTCCATCCGATAACAACGCCATTGGTCATCTACCCGCAAGCTCAGGCTACAGAATTGACTGAGAATATTGCATGAAAACATACAGGAGTAATCAAGATAGATCCCTGGCTCGAGCCGTTTAAGGATGCGCTGCGGCACAGATTCGATTATACGAAGGGATGGATTAAACGCATTAACGACACGGAGGGCGGGTTGGAGAAGTTTAGTCGGGTACGTTAACTAGTTATGACCTCACCTCACCTTTGCCCCTTCATGTCTAACTGGGACATATTTTAACTGGCTGGATGTTTTGTCAGGGTTACGAGAAATTCGGCTTCAATGTACGAGATAATGGGAATATAGTGTACCGCGAATGGGCGCCGAATGCTGTTGATGCGCATTTAATTGGAGATTTCAGTGAGTTTTGGTCAACTCCTATATAAAAGACGTGGAGGGGTTACCGGATTTGCTAATTGGGGGGCGGTGGACCACACGAGTAGATAACTGGGATCGCAAAGCGACACCAATGAAGAAAGATGAATACGGTGTCTGGGAAGTCAGTGTCCCCGCCAAAGACGGCGAGCCGGCAATACCACATGAGAGCAAGGTGAAGGTGCGTTTGGTCTTCCTCTCTGCACCTGTCGCTACGCTTCCCTCCCAATTCTCATTCAATGCATGCAGATAACGCTCAAAACCCCCTCCGGCGAAACTCTCGACCGCTTCCCCGCCTGGATAAAGCGCGTAACCCAAGACCCCTCCAATGAATTCCACGCCATTTTCTGGAATCCCCCCGCCGCCCAGCAGTACAAACCAAAACATGCCCGCCCCCCCAGACCCGCCAGCCTCCGCATCTATGAAGCGCACGTCGGCATCTCCTCGCCCGAAACGCGCGTCGCAACTTACCCGGAGTTTACGAAAAATATGCTCCCTCGCATCAAGGCGCTGGGATACAATACGATCCAGCTGATGGCGATCATGGAGCATGCGTACTATGCCAGCTTCGGGTATCAGGTGAACAACTTCTTTGCGGCGAGCAGTCGGTACGGGACGCCGGAGCAGCTTAAGGAGTTAATTGATGTGGCACATGGGTTGGGGATTGTGGTGTTGTTGGATGTGGTGCATAGCCATGCGTCGAAGAATGTGCTGGATGGGTTGAATATGTTTGATGGGACGGATGGAGTGTATTTTCATAGTGGAGGGAAGGGGGAGCATGGGTTGTGGGATAGTCGGTTGTTTAATTATGGGTCGCATGAAGTAATGCGGTTTTTGTTGAGCAATTTGCGGTTTTGGATGGAGGAGTATGGGTTTGATGGGTTTCGGTTTGATGGGGTCACGAGTATGTTGTATACGCATCATGGGATTGGGACGTAGGTATTTTTTTTTTTTTTTTCCTTTTCGTTTCTTCTTTTTATTTCTTGTTTTATTATTTTGTACTGTGTATACTGACTATAATCCAGGGGCTTCTCCGGTGGCTACCACGAATACTTCGGCTTTAACGTTGATCAGGAGGCTGTAACCTACCTCACTGTCGCCAACGAAATGCTGCACCAGATATACCCATATTGCGTCACTATCGCAGAAGACGTCTCTGGCATGCCGGCGCTGTGCCTCCCCTTTTCCCTTGGCGGGTTAGGATTCGATTACCGCCTCGCCATGGCGGTGCCGGACATGTACATCAAGATGTTGAAGGAGCAGCGGGATGAGGACTGGAACATGGGACATATCTCACACACACTGTCAAACCGTCGACACTGCGAGAAAACGATTGCTTACGCAGAGAGCCACGACCAGGCGTACGTCCACTCCTCCCTCTAACCCAGTGAAACAAAACTAATATCTAAAACCACAGCCTCGTCGGCGACAAGTCCCTCATGATGTGGCTCTGCGACAAAGAACTCTACACCCACATGTCCACCCTAACCGAACTAACCCCCGTAATCTCCCGCGGGCTCTCCCTGCACAAACTCATCCGCCTAATAACCCACTCCCTCGGCGGCGAAGGGTACCTGAACTTCGAAGGAAATGAATTCGGACATCCAGAATGGCTCGACTTCCCCCGCGCTGGCAACAACAACAGCTATTGGTACGCACGGCGCCAATTCAATCTAACTGAAGACCCGCTGCTGCGCTACAACTTCCTCAACGACTTCGATAAAGCGCTGCAGCATGCGGAGGGGAAGTATGGATGGCTGCGGTCGCGGCAGGGGTATGTGAGTCAGAGACATGAGGAGAATAAGGTGATTGTGTTTGAACGGGCTGGGTTGGTGTGGGTGTTTAATTTCCATCCGGAGAGAAGCTGGGCGGATTACAGGATTGGGGTTAGTAGGAAGGGGGTGTATAGGGTTG